GGGGAGCACGGGAAGAAGGGGGCGGCGTGGGGCGAGACGGGGCACCACAAGAAGGGGCACAAGACGACCGGGTACCACAACACGTACCACAAGGACGAGTACAAGAAGGAGCACAAGTTCTACGACGACGCGCACAAAGAGGGGTACCACGACAAGCACGGCTCGCACCACGCGGACCACGGGAAGCACTCGGGCGGCAAGAAGCACGGCGGGTACCACGACTCGGCCTACAACGAGGGGCACAAGGGCAAGTCAGGGTTCTATGATAAGGGGCATTTTGATAACGAGCACGCCGGACACAAGGGCGCCAGCGGGTTCGACTCCAACTTCGGGAACTTCGATGAGTTTGGGAAGAAATCCGGCTTCAATGATCATAACAAGTTTGGATTCAGCGATTTTTGATTTTGCAGTGTATGCTGCCGTGCTAAGGAAAAACGCCGTATGAGCCTTCAGGCGTTGCCAAATTTCCTCTGATAAAATACGAATTTATTGGGGAAATTTTAAATATTTTTCTTCCAATTTTTCAGACTATTTTGTTCGCAATTTAATCTAAAATATCTGACAATTTCAAAGAAAAATGTTCATGAATGTCGTCAAAAACACGTTTTATCAAGGGAAATTTGGCAACTCTCGAATGTTCATACGGCGTTCTCCTTTAGCACGGCAGTATGAGTTTACGGGTAACGTAGGAAGACCGGGTAATGTCGACTTCATCCAGTTGCTTTTTGGTAATGTCAAATATCGTCAACATTACCTGGATAATGTCGACTTTACCCATGTCGCTTCGGGTATGTCTAACCGAAAGTTGGAATTGCGTATTTTCATCGAAACGTTGCCGATAAGGCGCAGAAAACAATGAATTACGCCTAATTTTTGACATTACCAAAAGTGACTGGATAAAGTCACCCGGCCCTCCGACATTACCCGTAACATAAACATCGATTTAGAATGTGTAAAAAGGTGTAGCGTTGGAAGTATTTCTCCGATGTTGAAGGCGCTCCGCAGCGAGCGCACGGGCGCGCTTCATGTTGCCCTATATAAATTGAATGGATCAGTAGACAGGCAAGAATTTTAGCATTCTGAAGCATTTTTCCGAGCCAAAATTTTACGCAGAACACGATTTCAGCGACAAAAAGCATTGATATCAACTCCTACCTAAGATATTGAATTATTTAGTTTAAATTCGTTCGTGTATTTGAATCCCCGCTCACATGAAAAACAATAGTCTGCTTGAATCAAGTCGCGCACTGGTACGATTTTGAAGGGCTTCTTACTAAAGCAATGTTTTTTCCCTGAATTGCGTCATTCAACGAGAAAATAACGTAAAACAGTTGAACTAAAGCGTTGAAGTTAAGTTAGCATAATTTCTGTGCGCCATTTGAATCTCGTAGACTATTGTTATTTCATGAGTGTGAGGGTTGAATTCACGCGTCAAGACTCTTTGAATATCGTAGCTAGAAGTTGGTTTCGGTAATAATCCTCCCGCGAATCGTGTTTTGCGAGCAATGTCAGTTAGAAATCATATTCAGGATGCTTGAATTCGTACCTTGTTAAATGTAAATTGCGTCATTCCTACAATGGTCCACTCGACGAGGTGTGAATTAAATTTTCTTTTCAAAAATTCATGAAAACATATGCATAGGTAGGTTATAGTTTTTCTCGTTTCTTGTAAATAATGTATATATTTGTAATTTATAATAAAGTATTTTCTCGATACTTTGTAATTTTTCGAAAATCTGTGTCACATATTGCCGCCGCATCCGCAGAGATCCATTATTTTTTGGCACAATTTCAATATTTTTGTTGATAGTAAAAAATAATGGAGAAAAACGCTACTCAGCATTTGCCACGTCAATATGTAACAATCATTGCACAGTTTTCTGACTCAGCAAACCCATTTTTTTCCGTTGTACAATGTGTGGCAGCCGTGCTAATTGAAATATACAATTTGACACACAGAAAATATGGATGGTGTAAATCGGCCGGTCCCTTGAGAATCCGCTACTCTGTAACTCTGTTCTGTATCTCCAAACTTAATGTTACCAAGGGGTTGGGGTTGTCCTCATACCCTCGCGGAACATAGGCGAATCCAGGGGAAGGGTGACGCCCCTTAAATCCGCCCGCAAAAAGGGAATAAGGTAAAAGAGAGAGAGAGAGAAGGAAGGAAATGAGGAAAGAAGCTTGTATTTACTAATTTCAAGACTAAATTGACTCAATCAGCATACTAGATGTTTAAAAATTTTGGAAATTCAAGCCACAGACTCGCAGAAAACAGCGAAACCGCGATTAATTCCCGCGACAAGACGAAGAGTCGCATCGACACCCCAACCGTGCGAATCGCATGCATACAAGACGTGAGAAAATAACGCGAGTCATATTCGTTCGACGCGCCAAAAATGCAAAACACGGGGGTTTGAGCTTGAGCCCGTGAGCCGCGGTCGCGGCGCGAGGAGCGTGATTTGTCACGTGGCGAAAATTTTTCCTCGGAATCCGCTCGGAGCCGGAGTCTTCCCCGGTTCCGAATCCTCATAACATTTATCACCCTCCCATTGTATGATCCGGCGCGTGCGATTCCATCCCCCGGAAAGCTATCGCACCGACGCGTCGACAACTTATTCACCTCATGATTTTCCACGGAGCATTTTATGACGCGACCAACGGCTCACGGCTCACCCTCCGTGGTAGCGTGAATGCCAACGTGTGGTCCGCTTCGAGGGGCTCTTTCATTTTTAATTTTGAGCGTTGTTCCGTGACATAGGAGGATAAAAACATCTCGCACGGGGGGCAGGGGGTCCGGGAGGCTTCACCGAAAAAAAATATAGTAGATTTTACCATACTCTGACACAATGATATGAGTATGCTAATAAACGTCAGATTCTATGGTAGCATTTACCATATAATAGTAAGAATCAGCAGAGTTCTGCTAAATACTACCATAATGCTGGTCATTTTCACTAAATGGTATAACTGTGCAAAAAATCAAGTAGACTTATAGTAGATGTTACCATATTTTTTTTTCAGTGTCCACCCAGAAAATATTCAAAATTTTGAGACATCTATACTGTTTGAGTCGAAATCGTCATGGATAATCAGCAAATACTTCCTCATGTGTGTCTCTTCGGTCTTTCCTTATTTCCTTCCTTCGAAGGTGGGGGGAGGGGCGGCGTCAGGGGGGTCCGGAGGGCTTCCACAGAAAATTGTCAAAATTTTGAGGCATCTAGTATGCTGTTTGAGTCAAAATCGTCATGAATAATCGGCAAATACTTCCTCATGTGTGTCTCTTCTGTCTTTCCTCATTTCCTTCCTTCGAACGGAGGGGGGGGGGGGGGGGGGGGCGCCAGGGGGTCCGGGAGGCTTCCACAGAAANCCCCCCCCCTCCGTTCGAAGGAAGGAAATGAGGAAAGACAGAAGAGACACACATGAGGAAGTATTTGCCGATTATTCATGACGATTTTGACTCAAACAGCATACTAGATGCCTCAAAATTTTGACAATTTTCTGTGGAAGCCCTCCGGACCCCCCTGACGCCGCCCCTCCCCCCACCTTCGAAGGAAGGAAATAAGGAAAGACCGAAGAGACACACATGAGGAAGTATTTGCTGATTATCCATGACGATTTCGACTCAAACAGTATAGATGTCTCAAAATTTTGAATATTTTCTGGGTGGACACTGAAAAAAAAATATGGTAACATCTACTATAAGTCTACTTGATTTTTTGCACAGTTATACCATTTAGTGAAAATGACCAGCATTATGGTAGTATTTAGCAGAACTCTGCTGATTCTTACTATTATATGGTAAATGCTACCATAGAATCTGACGTTTATTAGCATACTCATATCATTGTGTCAGAGTATGGTAAAATCTACTATATTTTTTTTCGGTGAAGCCTCCCGGACCCCCCTGCCCCCCGTGCGAGATGTTTTTATCCTCCTATGTCACGGAACAACGCTCAAAATTAAAAATGAAAGAGCCCCTCGAAGCGGACCACACGTTGGCATTCACGCTACCACGGAGGGTGAGCCGTGAGCCGTTGGTCGCGTCATAAAATGCTCCGTGGAAAATCATGAGGTGAATAAGTTGTCGACGCGTCGGTGCGATAGCTTTCCGGGGGATGGAATCGCACGCGCCGGATCATACAATGGGAGGGTGATAAATGTTATGAGGATTCGGAACCGGGGAAGACTCCGGCTCCGAGCGGATTCCGAGGAAAAATTTTCGCCACGTGACAAATCACGCTCCTCGCGCCGCGACCGCGGCTCACGGGCTCAAGCTCAAACCCCCGTGTTTTGCATTTTTGGCGCGTCGAACGAATATGACTCGCGTTATTTTCTCACGTCTTGTATGCATGCGATTCGCACGGTTGGGGTGTCGATGCGACTCTTCGTCTTGTCGCGGGAATTAATCGCGGTTTCGCTGTTTTCTGCGAGTCTGTGGCTTGAAAAACTATGAGTCAATCGACGAACTTTTGAATCGATCGACAAAACCCGTGAGTCGATCAACAGCTACGAAATAGGTTTGTTGCAAACTTTTGCTACAGCAAAAATAAGAGTCGTTTCTTCTAGATTATGTATCAAAAATCACGATGAAACAAAAATCAAATGAAACAAAAACGAAAAATAAAAAAAACGATACTACGGCACAAGTGAACATTTTGCTATAGGAATCGTTCCATCGTCGGCAATATTCATCATGGCCTTGTCATGCCCAGGCCCAGTCAAACCCTTTTATCGATTCAAGGGTTTGACTCATCCATTTGTCGATCGATTAACGGAGTTGAGGTTTAAGGGTTCCACTAGATCCTCATTGACAGTGATACTGAAAAAATGAGTACCTCGGTTTTTGGCGCTACAGACTCTCTATTATTATATTTTTTCACATGGGAAAATATCCAAATTTACCATTCGAACAATTCCTTGATTTTTCTCATACGCGTTAATAATGTTCTGATAAGGCGAGATTCTGAAGCATCGCGAACGAGGTACGATTTTTATCCAGTTTCATTGTCCTTCTTTTTTAACTTTTCTTATTTTATTCTTCTGAGTCTCTTCCTCTCCGTCCTGACTCTGGCCTTCTTTTCTTTCTCTTTTTTTAACTTTGCTTTTTCAGGAGAAATCATTCATGAATCTTAAGCGGAGGTTGTTCTGCATGGCTGCCAAGAGATGGTCCCTATTATCCGATCTTTCTTCATGACTAACGTTGAGACTCCTTCGACAGAAGCTACATCCACGGGACCATTAAAGTCCTGCGGTTCAAGGGACACTTGACTCGCGGAACGTAATGGATATTCGAATCCTGGGCGGGAAGATTGCGAAACAGTGACGCGGATATGACATTCCTTGGATTGAATTAAAAATAGATTCAGCTCCAAGAGTGGGGGGGGGTGAGGGGGAGCTGAAAG